GGGGGGGGGGGGAGACAGCTGTGCTGTAAATGTAATCATTTTAACGTGACTCCCTCTAGATCCAAGGAAGCCAGTAGTTATGAACATTTTTAGAGCAAACGCTTATTTTACCATAGTCTGGGAGAAGGGTGTTTTTCCTAACTCTGCTGAACAGCAGTTTCCGAGACCTCAACTTTCCAAACCCTGGATCAGCCATATTTCTTTTCTTTCTCTGGCCACTGCGCCTGTTCACTCATTCAGCTACCGCTGTGTTACTTGCACTGCTTTTTGCTGCTTCCCTTAAATGTAACGACTAGAAGACTCAGTTTCATAACCTGCAATGACTTCTCAGAGTACTGACTGGAGGTGAGTCCCAGGAACACTTTCCCAGCACCGATTTGCATATGCATTTATCCATATATGCACATATTCCAGGTGTCCCAACTGTAGCCACTCCTTTGTCAGGAAATACCTTTCGACGTTAGTGAAAACCTGCAAAACGCATCTCCACCCCTGGCGGTCTCCTTGTTTTCTTGTTTCAGATGTATACACATAGTTTTGGTATTTGGCAAAACATGTTTTTGTTATCTTTAAAGGAATACTACCACCCCAAGGCAGGGAGAGGAAGGTAAAGATTTCCAGTAAGACCTTACCCCTGGAGTGGTGTTCTTCACCCCTCCTGTTGTTGCATTCCAGTTGCTCACACGTGACTCCGAATAAATCTCTAAGCCTTTCAGATCCACCTGTTTTTTATTCCGTTTATAAGTATTTGTAACTTTTACAGGAAAAAAAANAAATAAATCTCTAAACCTTTCAGATCCACCTGTTTTTTATTCCGTTTATAAGTGTTTGTCACTTTTACAGGAAAAAAAAAAATCACATATCAAAATTGGTTTGAGGGGTCCCGACCAGTATGGCTCAGATGGTGGGGCATCATCCCATGAACCTAAAGGTTGCTGGTTTGATGCCCACTCAGGGCACACGCCCGGGTTGCTGGCATGATCCCCAGTAGTCAGCATGCAGGAGGCAGCTGATTAATGTTTCTTTCTTACATCGATGTTTCTTTCTCTCCCTCTCCTTTCCTCTATCTCTATTAAAAAAAAAAAAGTCTTTAAGAAAAAATTGGTTTGGAGTATTGAAAAATTATATAATAAAGTAAGAGAAGAAATATAGGTCCTAAAGAGATTGTTTTCACATTTACTTTATTATGTAGTTATTACAGAAACCCTGGAGGGGGGAAGCAGACATGTTTCCATGGGGTTTTATAATATTTAAAAGATACCTGTAGGGTCCAGAGTGGTACTGTGAAGTGTACACATTCCAGTTCACAGATCTATTTTTCAACCAATGCTAGGATGCAGGAGAAAATGATGTTCAGTCTTCACTGGAGAGGGAAGGTGGTATTTGAGAAAGTACAAAGGGATAGGCAAAACCACAATGAGATATCACTTCCCATCCACTAGGGTGGCAATAATAAAAAGTAAGTGCTAGTGGGGGTGGGGAGAAATTGGAACTCTCCTACATTGCTGGTAGGAACACTGTAAAACCTTGCAGCCACTGTAGAAGACAGTTTGGCGGTTGCAAAGGTTTAAAGCTAGAATTACCATATGGCCAGTAATTCCACTCCTAGGCCTGTACCTTGTACACAAATGTTCATAGCAGCACAACCACAATAATTAAAAGATGGAAACCACCCAAATGTCTATCAATGGATGAGTGGTTAAAATATGGTATGTTCATACAGTGGAATATTATGTAGCAATAAAAAGGAATGAAATACTATCTGTGCTACAATATGGGTCAACCTTGGAAACATTATTCTAAGTTAAAGAAACCAGTGACAAAATAGCATATCTGATTCCGTGTGGTTTTTTTTTGAAATGTCTAGAATGGCAAATGTGTATGGATAGAAAGATTCACAGTTGCTTAGGGCTGAGGAACATGGGAGAGGGAATGGAAGGGTGATAGCTAAGAAAAAAAAAACCTGGAATTTCTTTTTGAGGTGGTGAAGATGTTTTAAAATTGTGATTATAGGTGCACATATCTGAGTATACTAAAAACTATTGGATTGGTCACTTTAAATGAATGAATTATAAATAAGTGAATTATATCTCAATAAAGCTGTCAAAAATATTTTAAAAGAGTGATGGGAAACATTCTTTTCAAGTCCTGTAAATACACACACACACACACACACACACACACACACTTCAGTGTTCCTAGAGAAAGCATCAAGCAATATGGCTTAAATTTATTTATTTATCTAAATGTTTTTATTGGTTTTAGAGAGAAGAAGGAAGGGAGGGAGGGAGAGAGAAACATTGATGTGAGAGAGGAACATAGATCAGTTCCNTTCAGTGTTCCTAGGGAAAGCATCAAGCAATATGGCTTAAATTTATTTATTTATCTAAATGTTTTTATTGGTTTTAGAGAGAAGAAGGAAGGGAGGGAGGGAGAGAGAAACATTGATGTGAGAGAGGAACATAGATCAGTTCCCTCTCGCATGTACCCCGACCGAGTCTGGTTTTGTTGCTTTTCTGGGTGTGGAGCTGAAANAGAGAGAAACATTGATGTGAGAGAGGAACATAGATCAGTTCCCTCTCAGGTACCCCGACCGAGTCTGGTTTTGTTGCTTTTCTGGGTGTGGAGCTGAAATACAACTGAGGCCTAGATGTTATCTCTAGGGAGGAAAGGTCAGGGGGTCCAAACTGCAAGACCAAACAAGGATAGGCTAAGGGAGAAAAGGTCACCCTGGGGGTGAGGTGCCATCCTACATTTTTCCTTTGCTAGGCACCCAGGGCTTTTCGCCCTGGTGACCTTCTGTACCTGGCCCATCCTCCTTGCCCTGCTCATGTCTGTCTAACTGCCTACCACATTTCCAATAAAGAAGAATCTATCTAATTAATTATTTAAAATAAAAGTCTGTGGATGTCAGAAATACTCAAACCTGTAAGAATTTTTATGAGTTCATTTGAGCAAAACTGACAGCAATTACCAGGAAGCAAAATCTCAAGGGATTGAGAAAATGGTCCAGAAAATGTCAGTTTTACACCTTATTTTATACATTACAATCAAAGGAGGCATAAAGGGGTTACATGAAATCCTTTGGTGATAGATTAGGGAGGTGGGAGAAACAAAGCAGGGAAACTTCTGAGATTGGATGAAAGTAAAATGATAGACACATCTTTTACATAGGTGGGTACAAGATTGTTAACAGCCCGGCCAGGCATGGCTCAGGGTTAAACATCAACCTAGGATCCAGGCGATCAGGGTTCGATTCCTGGTCAGGACACATGCCCAGGTTGCAGGCTAGGCA